ATATGTAAATTGGAATAATAAAAGTGCTGCAGCTGGAGAATTTCTTGAATGAAGTGTATTAATCACCAATCTACTACTTTTTCTAGACATGCAATACATTTTTGTAAGTTTTCAGTAAAGTTTGATCATCAAGTGCACTAAGAAACACTGGTTTGTGTCTATATAGGAATTGACACAAGTCTTTAGATACAAAACTATGTGAAAGACATTACTCAATATCATATTATAGTTCTACACTGCTGAAGTTACTCTAATTCACAGAAGTTCTTAATCATCGGCCTCCAGAGATAAGGGACTCTGCAACCGAGGGGGTGTAAGAGAAGGCCTTATCCATGGAAGATGAATACGACATGGCAAAATCATCAAACCCGTCACGATGTGCAAACGTTAGGCCGCTGGCAGAAATTCCAAGTGACGATAACTCCGGTAGAAAGATGGCGCCCTCCAAAAACTGTTCAACTTGCCTCATAGTCGGCCGAGCAACAGGTTCTGAGTGTGAGCACAACAACCCAAGCTTCAATACCAACTCCACCTCCTGTGCTACGTAATTGGTGCCCAAATTTGGATCAACTGCCTGAAGAATCTCACCTTTGCTCCAGCACGAAAACACCAAATCAACCAAAATGAGTTCGTGTTCACTTGATGCTCGTGGCTCTATTGGTCGTCTTCCACAAGCAACCTCTAACAAAAAGGCCCCGAAAGCATATACATCGGTGCTTGTGGTGGCTTTGCCGGTTCTGGTATGTTCAGGGGCTACGTACCCCAGAGTTCCTACCACGTGGGTAGTTTGAGGGTCAGTTCCATGATCATACAATCTTGCAAGACCAAAATCACCTAATCTTCCATTCAATTCAGCATCTAACAAGACATTACTAGCCTTGACATCTCTGTGAACCACCACTTGTTCCCACCCTTCATGTAGATACAACAGTCCAGATGCTACACCTTTGATGACTCGAAATCTCTGGCTCCAATTCAGGGTGAATTTCGGTTGGTCGTATAGGAATTTGTCTAGACTTCCATTGGGCATATAGTCATAGACCAATAGGAGCTCTCCTCTACGCCGGCAATAACCCAGCAGAGGTACTAAATTTCGGTGCCGTAGCCGACCGATACTTACTATTTCAGAAACGAATTCCCTCATCCCCTGTCTGGATTCATGAGACACCCTCTTCACAGCAATTTCAATTTTAGAGGTGGGTAAGACCCCTCTGTATACCCTACCGAATCCCCCAGTCCCCAGTAGGCCCTTGTCTTTGAACCCTTCGGTGGCAATGTACAAGTCTTTGTACTTCAATCTTTGAGGCCCATAGTCATGTTCCCAATCTTCAAGCACTTCTGCAAACTTCCTCTTCCTTCTCACATAATAAACTACACCTGAGGTCACCATTAACACCGAACCAATGGAAATTACAGGCAACCCAATTATCAGCATTCTCGATTTCGATTTATGACCAACTCGAGGAAGCTTAGGAAGTTGAGAGAGAGAAAGCCCTTGAGCCATGCCATTCATCTTAAAACTCCACCCCAAGACATAATGAGATGTGAGGACTGCACCGGTGGACGAGGAAAATCCGACATACATGATGTCCTTCAGAATTGATGAAAGATCCCGAAACAATGATAAGAGGGGAGTATGTGGCTTACCAATGTTTATTGGGGCTAAAGTGACATTAATTTGCCTAGCAGCACCATCATATTCCACCCAAACTTGAATTTGGTGGCCACTAATAAGAGTCAAGTTCTGAAACTCACCATTGGTATTAGCATAATATCCTGCTGGTTTTGATGCATCAGATTTCAACCCGTCGATATCAATACCAACATGGTTGTCATTGATATCTTCAAACTCTGGGCTCTGGATCGTGTCGAGCTCCATAGCAAAGACATGGTTGGTGTCATTTCCATTGTTGGTGTCGTTGAAAAGGCCAAGATACGAGCTTGAAAGAGCTCCTGGAAGGCCTCTGGTTGGGGCAATAACAAAAGCGATTCCATGGCCGCCCAAAGTCGCATATTCGGAGACGATAGCGAATATGAAAGAGGTCGAGAAGGAAAAAGCCGAACCGTTTGATGAGCTCTTGAAGCTGATAGGATTGGGATAGAAGGCATGCCCCTTTTGTTGTCTGGTGGCATTGGTTAGCTTCAGGAGGCCATTGGGTGTGAACTCAGCTATGCCATCGAGACTCAGGTTCGCTGTTCGAAATCCATCGTAGACAAATCCTAGATCTTCAGATGCTACTAAGGTAAATAAAACAAGCACCACCACCAGTATTACAAGTTTGCTAAACATGGCTACTCTTTCAGCCAACTCCTTTCAGAATCTCTCTCTCTCTTTTTTTAGGTCTGTAACGACATTCGTGGCTCATGTTTTTATACTGGACAGCAGTTTTAACACTCGCTGTTGGTACTTAAAATATTGATATGATTTATTGATTTGATAAATTATAATTATTAAATAGATAGTGCGTCTCAATAAATACTGAGACTCACAATTAAATCAATGATCGTAATTAATCAAGCTTATTTTTCAAGTCTACGTACCATTACTTATATTTTTTGGTTTTAGAATATTTTATTTGACTAAAATTTAATTTCCTAAATGCACTCTATCTTCCTGAGATTTAACAATGTCCACATCACCCTCATGGTTTGTGGACTAAACTGCACTCCTAACTCTGTTAATTGCATCAGTAAAATAACATTAATACCTTTCATTCTATCTTGTTCAACAGACTCCTTACCTCTTGTTCCGGCGAAGCACTCAACTCACTGTTTCGTCATAACTGTTGCAGCTACATGCTACACCACAACAGTCACTGTTCTTCTACACCATTCTAACCATAGTTTCCCATCAGCTACCTCCTTCTCAAATTCAACAACCATATCTAGAACTAACAGATACACAGTTATGAAGGTTAAAATGAAGAGAGAAGAAATTGGAAGAAGTTCGTAAATTGTTTGTGTCTGTTTATACATCCATGGCCCATCCTTTCTGTTAGGTCCTCTGAAATATAATTTGTGTGTATTCTACTTTTTATTTTGTTTTTATTGCCTTTTTCTCAATTAATAATGATGTGACTTTATTAAAATCATTGGATAAATATCAAGTACCAATATTTGATGGAACCCACAATTAATCCAAAGATCATAACAAATTAGATCAATAAATTAGGTCACAATAACATTGCTTATCAGGGAAACAAAGCATATTTGAGGTATACCATATGGTGATGAAATGAAGTTTTCTTAAGAACAAGGTTCAAGTTTATCGGTCTATTAGGATGTCTGAAAATAATTGAACTATATGTGACAATATAAATAGTATGAAACCACTTCCTGTAATCATCATTAATTTTGAATATTAGGTTATGTTTTCACATCCAATAGTATTATTTTCTTTTCCTTTAAAATATGCTTTTTGTCATTTAAATAATACATTTTAAAAATAATGACCAACTCACTACTTTCACTCTCTATTTCGATCACTTCAATAATACATTTTTCAATTGAGGTATTTAAATAATAATAAATGTTAAGTTATTTTTCAATTACATGCAGTGTTTACAAATACAATCTATTATTCACATTATACTTAACTATTACTTCTATAAAAAGAAGATTTCTAAGATTAAAATTTTTAAAATCATACATCAAATTGAATAAGAAAGATTACATATATCAATACTATTGCTTAAAAATAATAAGTCACCGAAATTTATCTATAAAAATTATTTTAGTAATCAAGTATTCAAAAAAGAGAGGACAAATTTTACTTCTAAATATAAAAGACTCACTAAAATCTGTCGCCTTATTTCTCAAATTATCTTGAGTTGACCGCGTTAAAAAGCCAAATTTACTCTCTTTAATGCATGTATATTTTTCATTTAATATTATTTATCATAAAAATTATTTCCTATTGGAATAAAAAGTTGTATCGGAGTTGTAAAAAAATTGCTCTCTATTTTAAAATTTTATAAAAAAAAACTCTATTTTTGAAATGATGTTCCCTAGACATTTAAAACACATACACATAGAGGTGGTAATCGAGCTAAACTCAAGTTTTAATCGAGCTTAATTTTCACATAAATGATCTGACTCGTTTAACTATTTACACATAAACAAGATTTAAAAAGTGTTCAAGTTTGGCTTGATTGTCAGCCCTACATACACACAATAGGAATGCTTTAAAACTTCAATAATACTAGACTGATCAAATTTTGTAATCAAATGTAGAACTCAAATGACATAACAACTGAATTAGACTTTTTTATTTGGTGTAATGTCATTTGAACTCCAATAAAGACTCCAAATAATATATTGTCATGTCATTAAATCTAATCACAAAATTTGGTCAACATTACATTACTGTTAAAACTTTATGACATTACTCATGGAACTTTAAGATGGATTGAAACCCGGCATTAAAATTTTAACAACACGATTCTCAAGGTATTGTTGATTTGGACCGAAATTTACGGAGGTGATTTATGTTTATTTGTTCCATGCATTGACAAGTAAGCATGGTTAATCATAATTTTTAAATGTAATTCAGCGGTTGAGTTTAGTTTTTAATATTTCAGATTTAATCCCTTTATATACCTCTTAAGAATTAGTCATTCTTATCTATTTAGAAACATACTCTAATTCAGCTAAAGCTATGGCGGTCAATCACTCATGAAATCAAGTAAATAATCGGCGTAAACTTAGACCACATTAGTCACAATCGACGTTTAAGTAGGATGACAAGTTGGTGCATTTTAATTTTAGAATGGCACTTGTCTTTCCATAATGTTGCAATGGCCCACAATTTTGAAAAATAAAAGAAGTGAGCAGAAAAAGAAACAGAAAAGCTGAATGATGTAATGTAACATCAAAATCCAACATGACTCTTTGAGCACGATACTATCAAGTCTTGCCATGCTGTTTGAAAATAAGTGATAAAATTGTGGAGACAACAAGCCAATCATATAATTAATGTCGACATCTCAGTTTGTTAACAATGTGGAATAAATATTTAATATAACAATGATACTATGCCAGTATTGTCATATGTACCAGAAGCATTTGCATCTTTAGGATGGACTTTTAGACGTTGCACCAAACATAATCTTGAATGAGCAGCTCAAGTGATAATAGGGACGAATTGTAAACTCATACATCTTAAAATTGAACTTTGATAATTCCTTGGAATCAAACCATGAGAGATTTATCCCTTATGAATATCATAATCCTGGCATGGTTGACCTGTCTTTGACTGATGAGAAGATTAGTNTTCTAAATATAAAAGACTCACTAAAATCTGTCGCCTTATTTCTCAAATTATCTTGAGTTGACCGCGTTAAAAAGCCAAATTTACTCTCTTTAATGCATGTATATTTTTCATTTAATATTATTTATCATAAAAATTATTTCCTATTGGAATAAAAAGTTGTATCGGAGTTGTAAAAAAATTGCTCTCTATTTTAAAATTTTATAAAAAAAAACTCTATTTTTGAAATGATGTTCCCTAGACATTTAAAACACATACACATAGAGGTGGTAATCGAGCTAAACTCAAGTTTTAATCGAGCTTAATTTTCACATAAATGATCTGACTCGTTTAACTATTTACACATAAACAAGATTTAAAAAGTGTTCAAGTTTGGCTTGATTGTCAGCCCTACATACACACAATAGGAATGCTTTAAAACTTCAATAATACTAGACTGATCAAATTTTGTAATCAAATGTAGAACTCAAATGACATAACAACTGAATTAGACTTTTTTATTTGGTGTAATGTCATTTGAACTCCAATAAAGACTCCAAATAATATATTGTCATGTCATTAAATCTAATCACAAAATTTGGTCAACATTACATTACTGTTAAAACTTTATGACATTACTCATGGAACTTTAAGATGGATTGAAACCCGGCATTAAAATTTTAACAACACGATTCTCAAGGTATTGTTGATTTGGACCGAAATTTACGGAGGTGATTTATGTTTATTTGTTCCATGCATTGACAAGTAAGCATGGTTAATCATAATTTTTAAATGTAATTCAGCGGTTGAGTTTAGTTTTTAATATTTCAGATTTAATCCCTTTATATACCTCTTAAGAATTAGTCATTCTTATCTATTTAGAAACATACTCTAATTCAGCTAAAGCTATGGCGGTCAATCACTCATGAAATCAAGTAAATAATCGGCGTAAACTTAGACCACATTAGTCACAATCGACGTTTAAGTAGGATGACAAGTTGGTGCATTTTAATTTTAGAATGGCACTTGTCTTTCCATAATGTTGCAATGGCCCACAATTTTGAAAAATAAAAGAAGTGAGCAGAAAAAGAAACAGAAAAGCTGAATGATGTAATGTAACATCAAAATCCAACATGACTCTTTGAGCACGATACTATCAAGTCTTGCCATGCTGTTTGAAAATAAGTGATAAAATTGTGGAGACAACAAGCCAATCATATAATTAATGTCGACATCTCAGTTTGTTAACAATGTGGAATAAATATTTAATATAACAATGATACTATGCCAGTATTGTCATATGTACCAGAAGCATTTGCATCTTTAGGATGGACTTTTAGACGTTGCACCAAACATAATCTTGAATGAGCAGCTCAAGTGATAATAGGGACGAATTGTAAACTCATACATCTTAAAATTGAACTTTGATAATTCCTTGGAATCAAACCATGAGAGATTTATCCCTTATGAATATCATAATCCTGGCATGGTTGACCTGTCTTTGACTGATGAGAAGATTAGTTAAAATGTACGTAAGCTGGGCTAGACACCCCCAACTATTAAACAAAAAAAAAAAATCACTTGGGAAGTTATTGATTTACATGGAGGGAGAATGTGATAGTTATTGACTTACATGAAAGGATAGTCATTAATTTGTGTAAGATCTATTTATTTATTTGTTTACATATTATTGGTTGGTGATACTACATGATAATGTTAACGTGATATTACCGTTATATTAAATATTTATTCAACATTGTAGACACTACATGTCAATCATATAATTAATGTCAACATCTCATTAACAAAGTGATACATATGGTGAAAAAAATAGGGGTGCAACTTAGGTGGGTCAACCCAAAAAAAAAAATAGTGTCATAGTTGAAAATTTTAAGATTAGGGTTGAAAAACTTCAACCCAAATTGAATTTGGACAAAACTCAGTTTAAGAACTCGGGTTCACGGGTTTAACCCGAACCCAACTCAAATTGATGAAATCGGGCTCAAACAAAATTCATATATTATATTCATATAAACAATATAAAAAATAAAATATAAATACATATTTTGTAATGATTATTATTATTTAAAGGGGGAGTGAAACATAATTTATAAGGATTATAAATGATGAAAAAAGTTTACACAACTAATGTGGGATAAGGAAAAAAAGCAAAAGAAAGATAAGGAGTTGTCATCTCACATCAGATCGATAACTCAAATAACCTTTCCTCCGTCTCCTATATAAAAAAAGCTTACCCATATATCCTTAATAAGTTATCTTGATGATTTTCATCTTAATGGGTCATGTAGGTCTATGTAATAGTCAAACATTATGTAAATACTCACACTTAATATACTCATACTTAATTTAGGATTATTGTTTGTCGAGTTGGAATTGCCAACTTGAATTAGGTAACCCAATTTTAACCTGAGCTCTATCTGAAATTAACTTGGGCAATACTCGGGTTAGGGTTAAGGTATGGGTAGTTATTTCAATTTTAGAGAGAAAAACTATCACTTCTCTCTACCCTATTCATCGTTTTTTCTTCAAATTTTCTTCATTCTTATCCAAATTTCCTGTTTTCTTCATGAATTCTAATTAGATTCAACGTCAAATTCCTCCAAAACAGTCTGATATCATCAAAAATTTTGCATCATTCTTCAAAAATTCGTCAATTCCTTTGAATTTGTTGAACTTGCCTATCAATGGCCGAGTTTCTAGAAATGTTGTGGATTCTTTTGTGAACATAATAGGTCAAGATAATTCCCAAAATATGCCTTCTACTCCTTGCTTTCCACTCAAACTAGTGAAGAGGGTTGTCTACAATAACGGAGAACCTAGTATGTATTGGACACCAGATGAGACCCTCGAACTATCGAAGGGGTTCCACCAGACACTAATTGGTAAATGTGCATACGGAAAACCATCTTTGGGGGTGATTAGGGAATTAATTGCTTCTCGATGGTTGCCTAAGGGTGAGTTTTATGTTGGCATCTTAGATCCGAGGCATGTACTCATTAGGTGCAGCCTTTTTTAGGATTATTTGAAAACGTGGTTGAATGATGCCACATACATCGAAGGGTTTCCCTTCAGACTCTTCAAGTGGTTTCCTAAATTCCAGTCGGGGGTTAAGCCTCCAATCGTTCATGTGGGTATCTCTTCAAGGGTTGCCAATTCACCATTTCAATAGGGATAGCCTTCGCGATAGTCTAAGCCCAATTGGTCGCATTTTAGTGATTTACAACCCTACTTTATAATTGTCTAGGCTTGGAGTGGCTAGGGTTTGTGTTGAGGTAAATTTGCTTACAAATAATCCTAAGAGGTTTTGGCTTGACATGGGAGGATTGTTTACGAAAAAGATTGTAAGTACTGCGTTGTGTGTTTGAAACAAGGTCATGATAACTCGATGTGCGGAAAGAAGAAAAAGGAAGATGATAATGTGAAAGGAGAGAAGATCGTAAGCCCTATGATTGAGAAAGACTTAGAGGTGGATATTTTGGGTAAAAATGATCAAGAAGCTGTAAAGAAAAATAAGAAGGGGAAGAAGGTGATGCAGGAGGTTCAAAAGAGGAAGTAGAGGAAATAATTCAAACAGAAAACCATTATTTAGAATCATGAGCTGGGGAATATGTTTGCTTTCTTGAATCAAGATCCTATCTTTGAATTGAATAAGAAGGATTCTGATTTGAAAAAAAGGAGATTGTTCTGGGAAAATGGATATGTTAGTTATGGAGGGGGAAGATTTTATGGGTAATGTCTTGAAGGATGATGGGGGTAATAAAGAAGTAGAGTTTGCTGAGACGGTTGTAGAGGGTCAGCAAGCTCAGAATCTTGTGGGTGTGCAGACTGGATTTCCAATTGTGCATGAAATTGTAAACCTTCAAGAGAATCAAAAGGAGTTGGATGAAGTAGAACTGTTGGATCAAGTTGAGAAATAGTCAGTTTCTCATGCCACTTTGGGCGCAAGTAATGATGTCCAAGGTAATCCAGTGGTGCAAGTAATTCTAGTAATGGAGAATCTGACTACTCCTCTAGTTTGTTCTTTGAATAAATCATGATCTCTCTCTAGGAGTTCCTCCTTTTGGGTTGATCACCAATATGAATATAGGAGGGGGAGTGATCTTTCCTTGGATGATGAAAAAGGGTTGATGCCTGTTAGGGTACCCTCAGACAAAAGTTATCACTCAGATTATGGGGGACCAATGGAGGGTGAGGCAGTGGACACAAATGATTCTGTAGTAAGGACTTTTTCAAAGAGGCTTCAGCGAGTGGGCTTATCTCCAGATTCTGTTACTGGAAGTGTTTCTAGAGGTAAGTCTCTCTTAAAATCTTTATGATTAATATTCTTTCTTGGAATATGAGGGGGGCAACTAAGGCTATCCATAATAGGAGATTAAGGAAAATAGTTTATATGAATGATGTTAGCTTAATTGCTATTTAAGAGCCCAAAATGGAAGCTACTAAGCTATCTGGTTTTTCTAGGAGTTTGGGTTTTGAATTTTATTCTGCTAATTCTTCAGTAGAGAAAAATATTTGGATCTTGTGGGATAAGAAATGAAGGTAAAGGTTGTGGTGTTTCAGGCACAAGCTATGACTGTAAAGGGGTCTTTTTTGGGTTTTGAAGTTTTTTGGGTTACAATTGCATATGCTTCTTGTGAATATGTAATTATGGTCGCATTTGTTGAGCATTGAATGTCTAGATTCTGTACCCAAATTGTTGTTAGGGGATTTTAATATCATCCTAAACTCTACAGAGAGGTTAGGGAGTTCTTTGCCTTCTTTTCAGCCCATGAAGGAGTTTGGGGAGTTTATTTCTGATGGAGGATGGATAGATGATAGTTTTCATGGTAGTAGGTTCACTTGGTGCAATAATCACCAAGGGAGAACAAGAATGTGGCAGAGGTTTGATAGGGTATTCTTTAATGCTAAATGGAGTTTGAAATTTGGAATAATTGAAATGCGACACTTAGCCAGAGGAGAGTCTAACCACTATCCTCTTCTTGCTCAGACAATGGAGGGTGTAGGTCAAAGTAAAGTGTCTTACTTCAAATTTCTAGACATGTGGATAGAAGATGACTCTTTTCGGCCTTTGGTTATTTCAAAATGGGTGGGGAGACATATTCAGATAACCCAATTGAAAATGTTTTCTAGTTAAAATTTTTGAAGTATCATGTTAAAACCTAGAACAATGAGGCTTTTGGAAATAACTTTGAGAAGATTAAGAAGTATAAAGCTGAGTTATCAGGAGCTGAGGTTCAGTCGGAGGCAAATCCTTCAGAGTCTAATCTTTTGCTTTGAAGGAGACTCAAAAGGAGTTTGATAATGTACTTCGTCTGGAGGAATTGTACCGGAAGCAGAAATCAAATGCAAAATGGGCAATGGAGGGTGAGAGGAACACCAAAATTTATCACGCAGTGGCCAAGGGGAAGGCTGTAAGGAATGGTATCAAAAGAATTCAGAATAAGGAAGGGGCATGGGTTCACGAGGAGAGTGAAATTTCAAGGGTGGCAAAGGAATTTTACTCTTCTCCATACACTTCAGAGAGGCATGAGGTTAAAGAGGAACATTTCTCTGTAATCCCTCAACTGGTAGGTGAGGAAGACAATGAGAAATTGGTGGAAGTGGCCACTATGGAGGAGTTAAGAGCAGTGGTGTTTTCTATGTCTACTGAGAGTGCCTCGGTCCATATGGTTTTTCTGGGAAGTTTTTCCAATTTTCATGGGATATTATTAAGGTAGATTTGTTGGAGGTAATGAATTTTTTTCGTAAAGGAGGGGTGGTTCCTAGATCTACTAATGCTACTTTGTTGGTTCTCATACCAAAGAAGGATGATCCTATGTCATTCTCAGACTTTAGGCCAATTAGTCTCTGCAACTTTTTGTACAAGATATTTACAAAGCTCTTGACCAAGAGTCTGGGTGCTTTGCTTCCTCTTTTGATTTCAGAAGAGCAGCACGGATTTGTGCCAGGTAGGAGCATTGGTGATTGTATTGCTTTGGGTCAGTATATGGTGGGGGAATTGGACAGGAAAGTTAAGGCTGGTAATGTCATTTCAAAGATAGATATGATAGGCTTGAGTGAGATTTTCTTATTGTTTCTCTGATTTGTTTGTGACAAGTATTTCTAATTGTTTGAACAATCAAAATGTTTCTTTATGCTTGAATGGGAAAAGGTTTGGCTTCTTTCCTTCTACTAGAGGACTCAGACAAGGAGATCCCATTTCCTCTAGTCTGTTCATTCTGGCTGAGGAGGTGTTAAGTAGGGGACTAAGACAGCTATATCAAACTGGTTTAGTCAAGCCTTTTCACATGGCTAGAGGTTCTATGGTGGTTAGTCATTTACTCTTTGCAAATGACACGCTTTGGGACCAATCTTTCTAGCCAAGAAGACAGCAACGAACGACGTCGTTTGCTCTTCTTCGCTTCCTTGCGCAAACTGGATGATCCCCCATCCATTTTGGCAAATCACTGCTGCCCAAAGCATGCAAAGATTTCTGCTCTTCTTCTCTTTCTTACGCAAACTGGATGATTGCCTCCATTTTTGGCAAATCACGCCCTCCCAAAGCGTACAAAAAACTCCACTACATAAAGTTCCGCTTACCAACTGCAATCTCAAGTTTCTTTTCAGGAGCTATTGATCGGCACTTTGATTTTGTCTCCTGCTATTTCAGTCTCGGGTAATTTTGTTTATTGTTTCATTTCACTTTTTTTAGATTCCAAACTTTTCAGGTCACAAAGTTTAGATTTTTCTTAGTTTTCTATTATAATCTTAATATAATTTTGTGACTATCAGATTTTAATGTCGGATGCTGAATGAAATGGTTCTTGATGTTAAGGCTTCGTGATTTAAAGAAAAACTTTCATATGGAAAAAATCGTCAGTTTCGTGGTCCCATAGTAGCCCAAGAACTGGTATGTTGTTAGAGGTCTAACCTAAGAGGAGCAACGAACTGTGATTTTTGTTTGGCTGCTGGGATTTTCGATTTTCTTTCAACGAGGAAGACGACCACTGGCTGCTGGGATTTCGATTCGAGAAGGCAATGAACTGTGATTTTCAAGGGTTTTGGTTTTTGGGAAAATAGATATCTTTTAACCTAAGAGAAGAAGAGCAAACGATGTCATTCGAGTTTCAAGCAAAACTTGTTGAACGACGCCATTCGTTGTTGTCTTCTTCACTGGAGCAGATTGGTCCAAAACTACGTCATCCCATTAACCGCAACTTTTGTTGTTAGACCTCTAACAGCAAAGGATCTGCACCCATTTGTGTTGTGTGTGCAAGCATTGGGGTGACAGAGAGGAACAAAGAGAGGGGGGGGGG